ACAAGGTGGTCTGATTATGTTATAAGATGGTCTCACTATGCTACAAGGTGGTCTGATTATGTTATAAGATGGTCTGACTATGCTACAAGGTGGTCTGATTATGTTATAAGATAGTCTGACTATGCTAAAAGGTGGTCTGATTATGTTATAAGATGGTCTGACTATGCTACAAGGTGGTCTGATTATGTTATAAGATAGTCTGACTATGCTACAAGGTGGTCTGATTATGTTATAAGATGGTCTGACTGTGCTACAAGGTTATCTAGTTATGTTATAAGATGGTCTGACTATGCTACTAATACACTTTGGTGTAATCAGAGCATGCCAACCTGTACCTATGATCCAACACGAGTTGTCTATGGGATGGAATGGAATGGAATGTGAGAAGCGAGTGTGCTGAAGTGGGAGTAGAGTGTTCTGGTGTGCTGCCAGTACATGTGATGTGTGTAACTGTCGGCAACACTGCCTCAGTCACCGACATACCTACAGTACACGTCCTAGACTAAAATTATCTTTTGTTTTTTTGTTTTTCAATTGGTTGTATGCACGCTCACCCCCAGCCCTTCACAGTATAGGCGTAGCCGCTCATGTCACCGACCACCTCGAAGTACATATCTTGCTAAAAATAAAATCCTCTCTTCTCCAATCAAATGCACGCACACGCACTATACGTCACAGGCCCACCCACACAGCCGCTGTCTCTGGGTATACTCAAAGCACGCGTGTCTGAGGATGGAGGGTATATGCAGAGACGCAAGGCCCGCAGCACCAACACGAGCATAGAACACGGCCACTTCAAGATCCTCAAGTCTACGCAGAATGGTGTGTTCGATGCAAACTGGTGTATTTGCATGGGGGTTACAGTAGTGTTAGGATATGTACCACGAGTACAGTTGGATGTGGACAGTAGTAGTATACAACGTGAGTATACTTGAATGTGCGTGAATGTCATGTATGTGTATGTCTGTCTGCTACATACGGTCACTATAACACCTTTGGGTCGATGGATGCGCATGTGTTGGATGTGCTGGAGTGTCATGTATGTGTATGCCTGTCTGCTACATACGGTCACTATAACACCTTTAGGTCGATGGATGCGCATGTGTTGGATGTGCTGGAGTGTCATGTATGTGTATGCCTGTCTGCTACATACGGACACTATAACACCTTTGGGTCGATGGATGCGCATGTGCTGGATGTGCTGGAGTGTCATGTATGTGTATACCTGTCTGCTACATACGGTCACTATAACACCTTTGGGTCGATGGATACGCATGTGTTGGATGTGCTGGAGTGTCATGTATGTGTATGCCTGTCTGCCACATACGGTCACTATAACACCTTTGGGTCGATGGATGCGCATGTGTTGGAGGTGCTGGAGTGTCATGTATGCGTATGCCTGTCTGCTACATACGGTCACTATAACACCTTTGGGTCGATGGATGCGCATGTGTTGGTTGTGCTGGGATGTCATGTATGTGTATGCCTGTCTGCTACATACGGTCACTATAACACCTTTGGGTCGATGGATGCGCATGTGTTGGATGTGCTGGAGTGTTGGTGTACGTGTATATCGGTTCTACTGCTCACAGTCACACTGAGATCCTCATGCCTCTAACAGCACTTGGAAGTCCGGTACAGACCCGTAGTCATTGTGTGCTGATGTCGACTGTGCTGAACACGGCCACCTGTAGTGTCTCTGACATAGCGGTGGCGGTGTTCTTCATCAACGAGTGTGCGTGGCAGTTGTATTGTCATAAATGAAGCGTCTTGGGTTTAGAACCCCTAAAACTTTTCTATTTGTCTGTTAAGACGAAGGCCAGGGGCGCGTATACAGGGATATGTATCAATGACAGTCAGATGTATGATGTGTGTGTAGGTATATTTATATTTCGTATACTGTTGGCGTTCGGAAGTTCGGACCTTACTCAATCTCCAAAACACACTCTCTGTATCTGCTGCAGACCTGAAGCCCGCGCCCGAAGAGACTTCAGACCAAACACCGCCACAAGCAGCCACACCGTCTGTAGCACACACCAACACACACAGTACCCAACTTAGCAACAACCGCTCACACACATCCACACCCAGCCACACACACAACACCACCAACAATTACGCCACGCACACCAACACACGCATTAGGCGGAGTGGGACGGACCCTCACCCACACGCACACCCACGCACACACACACACACACACACACAACACTCTACGGCTGTAAAGGAGGCGCTGAGTGGAGCCTCAACCGCACCACCGCTCAGTACGCACGACGAGCATCGGCCAGATACCGAACATGAAGATGGCGTGAAGGGAGGGACAAAACAACGACCAGGTATGTATGGGAGTGTATGTGTGTTTATATGAATGACTGTCTATGAGTGTTTATATGTATGGGTGTGTGTGAGCGTTTATATGAATGACTATGTGTGAGTGTTTATATGTATAGCTTTGTATGCGTGTTTATATGAATGGCTTCTTATGAGTGTTTATATGAATGACTGTCTATGAGTGTTTATATGTATGGCTGGGTATGAGTGTTTATATGAATGACTGTCTATGAGTGTTTATATGTATGGCTTTATATGCGTGTTTATATGAATGACTGTCTATGAGTGTTTATATGATGTGTTGGGTGAGACTGAGGCCAGGTGTATATGGCTGTGTATAAGTACTTGTCCGTTGTTTAAGTGAGAGATTGAATGTTCAGCTTCCACGTGCATGGGCTGTGGAGGTACACCGACGTCGCATGGGCCTCTCCAAAAGCCTTCGGTAGGTAGCACGTTGATCAGCACGTACCTGTAGAAGTACCTACTATTGCTGATTTAAACCAGATCCTAGAAGTACCTCCTTGTGCTGATATAAACCAGATCCTAGAAGTGCCTACTATTGCTGATATTAAACCAGATCCGCGTACTCTAAAATACAGGCAAATCGGGATTTGGACCGACCTCAGCCACCCAAACGTCGAGTGGAGGCCTGCGCCTGACCCGAAATACGAGCGAAAGGCAAAGTATCAAGGCAAATGGGGTTAGTTATAATGGCAACGTTTCAACGTCTACGAGCACACGTCTGAAGCACACGCCTTCCTCAACAGCCGCCAGACCACTCAGAGACCGTCCGTTAACGTTTGGCATTGGCATTCTGTTCCAGTTGTCGGATATGACGGACGATGCCACTCAACACAGGTGAGGTTATTATAGTGTATGTGGCTATAGTATATGTTGCTACAGTGAATGTGGCTATAAGTGTATGTGGCTATAAGTGTATGTGGCTATATAGTGTTTGCTATAGTGTATGTTGCTATATAGTGTAAGTTGCTATAGAGTACGTTGCTGTAGTGTATGTTGCTATAGTGTATGTTGCTATATAATGTATGTTGCTATAGTGTATGTTGCTATAGTGTACGTTGCTGTAGTGTATGTTGCTATAGTGTATGTGGCTATAGTGTATGTTGCTATAGTGTATGTTGCAATAGTGTATGTTGCTATAGTGTATGTTGCTATAGTGTACGTTGCTGTAGTGTATATTGCGATGGTGTATGTTGTTATGTCACTGTGTTGTTTGGATGTTTGGCGCAGACCCACCGCTCTTCTCCTGAATATGTCACCACAAAGTCAGAGATGCAAGTCAGCCCCCCAATCAACCCTTTTGGGTGTCTTGCAGTAACATTTGATGTTTGCACCCAAACTCTAGTTACCGGACACATCGGCTGTGTATGCATCTTATGCGTGCGCTGGGTTTGTTCGTTGTGCATATGCTTTAATCGAGATCATACCAACCTGTCCCCAGCAGCAACCATTCGCTGACGAATGGGTGTGGTGTTGATGGATAGATAGAGATTAAGGTACCCGGTGCTGTCTACACATACATCGCTGACAGGGCAGTAATGTGAGCACACGCATTATGTTATCTCTGTACGATTCTATAATCAGTGTATAGCTCTAGCTCTAAATACACGCGTATAACTACGTGCTAGGCTAGCTATAAGTTGTACTAGTTAGTTAGTATAAGTAGTTAGTACAACTATGTACTAGGCTAGCTATACGTTATACTAGTTGGTTAGCATAAGTAGTTAGTACAACTACGTACTAGGCTAGCTATAAGTTATACTAGTTGGTTAGCATAAGTAGTTAGTACAACTACGTACTAGGCTAGCTATACGTTATACTAGTTAGCCAGTATAAGTAGTTAGTATATCTACGTACTAAGCTAACTAACCTTACAAAGACAACACCACAGGCCAGCGCGGGTGATTGGCATAGCACGCACACTTACGGATGAGCCGATTGCGTGCGATGTAAGACCAATAGTAATCTCCAACCATCCTTCCGACCGATTCCTTTACATCGGTACTCTCAAATCAAGCACACCAACAGACAGACTCATACATCCGCAGGTGTAGTTATCAGACATACACATGCCCATTGCGTTTAAGTTATAACTGTCCCCTCTCCTCCTGACACGCCTCTACTCCTCTGAACGATTGCGTCTCTGAGCACAGCATGTTTGAGGAGTTCTTCTTCACGCACTTCTCCTTCATTGAGATGCGTGTGCAGTGGCTGTATGCGTCTATTTTAAATGCCGCGACGAAGCTAGCGGCACAAACGCTCATGACCATGCACGCTGACATGCAGTCATACAGCAGTGAACATACGGCCATGCCGGTATGTTATGTATATGTATGTGTAGATATGTATATGTATATGTGTATGTATATGTATATGTATATGTGTGTGTAGATATGTATATGTATATGTATAAGTATATGTATATCTATGTCTATGTCTATGAATATGTATATTTATGTATATGGTATAAGTCACTGTAATGAATATGTATATGTATATGTATATGTGCGCATATGTATGCATATGTATATGTCAATGCATATATATATGTATACGTATATACCTATTTGTTTGTAAACACAATGCGAGTCACATTGATTTGTGGAAGAAAGGTCCCC